GAGAGCTCCAGTCTTGCTGGGAACAAGTCTTGTTCCTCTCAGCTCTTAGAAACTTCCAACTTCTAGGTTTGGGGAGAAGGCTAGGGAACTGGGAGCTCACAGAGCATGGTGTCAACAGAGTGTCACTGTTACTTTGGCCCGTGGCCTGGCAGAGCACAGCTAAGCCTAGCTCAGCCTGAGAGCTCAACAGAATCTGGGATCAGTCACCCCTGGCTGCCTACTTTTATCTCCTCTGTGCCTCTCTCTCTCATGAGGGGGCGACTGACAAATAGCACATTGCCCAGGCTTGCCATCCCTCAACTGAGGTTGTGCTTGGGAGCTGTGCCCATCCAACATACTGGCTTCACTGAGCATTACTGGGTATGGGCAGGCTGCTCACTGGGGCAGTCAGAACACTGGAGATGGGGATAGACTGTCTCCAGGGGCTTGGGGACCAGAGAAAGAGCCCTGCAGTGGCTTCTGGAGAATGGCGGATTTCCTCACAGTCTTCCCAGGGGAGTCCAAAGCAGCACACGAGTCACTGTGGCAGAGTGTAGAAGTTAAGTGATAGAACTTAACTTATTAGCTTTGTGACTTTGCCCAAATCACATAACCTGTCTCATTGGGTCAAGTTTCTCATGGGCCAACTAGTAATTAATTTATTAATTAGTGAGGAATCTACTTCACTGAGCTATTAGTGGCACAGATAAAGTTGGTGTAGGCAGCAGTGGTTTGTAGCCCTGAATGCAATTCATTTGAAAGTAATGATGTCATGGAAAAAGCAGGCAGGTACCTGTTAAATACCTGTGAGATGCTTGGTGGGAGTTACAGAAGTTCAAGACTCAGTCCAGATAGGGAGGGAGAGTGCTAAACAATATGAACAGGTTGTAATGAGGTGCTGCTCATTTCATGTCTTGATTCATTAATGAATTACTGCTGAAATCAATTTTAGGGGATTGGGACCAGCGTCAGAAGAAAACAAAAAGAAATAGAATAATATAAAATGAATATGAAAATTTCAGAGTGCATAAAAGAGTAAATTATTTCATAAAATGTATTTCAGTTCTATGTGTGTGTATGTATAAAATCTCAGTATAAAGCGTATTTCTTACTGTGAGTCTCAGTTTTAAAACTTTGAGAAATGGTATTCTAAATTAAGAAAGAGGTCTTCAGGTTGGAGGACAGTTAATGAGATCAGGGCAAGCATGGAGGCTATGTGGAGGCTGAGGACTTAACCTGTAGAAGCAGAGGAGTAATAGTACAAGGGTCAAGAGCATGGGCTGTGGAGTCAGGCAGGCCTGGGTTTGAGTCCCAGCTCTGTCACTTCTAGCTATATGGCCTTGAGTGAGGCACTTAACTTTACTAAGTCTTGGATTCTACTTCTGGAAAATGGAGAGAATGGTATTATGGTAGGGTTATTACATGAGAATAGGAAGAAATTTGTAAATAGTAAATGATATATAGATGGTAACTACAATTGCTGCTGGTATTTGAAGTTGTGGTTTTTACTGTTATATTGGGCTCTGAAAGGGTTGCTGTGACTTGGAGAAGGGAGAAAAAAGGACATTTCAGATAAGGATGGGTGATTGACAAGGATGAGCATGTGTGTGCCTGGTATGAGACTGGTGTGGCTGAGATTTATGCAGCATTAAAAGGGGGTGTCGAGGGATCCCTGGGTGGCGCAGAGGTTTGGCGCCTGCCTTTGGCCCAGGGTGCGATCCTGGAGACCCGGAATCGAATCCCACATCGGGCTCCCGGTGCATGGAGCCTGCTTCTCCCTCTGCCTATGTCTCTGCCTCTCTCTCTCTCTGTGACTATCATAAATAAATAAAAATTTTAAAAAATAAAAAATAAATAAAATAAAAGGGGGTGTCGAGGTTATAGATAAACAGTATCAGGAAAGTTTTAATAGTAGAAACTTCAACAATAGGGTAGCTTCACCTGGTAATAATGAGGCGCCATCCCTGGTGGAATTCTAGCATGAGCTGGGCCACTAGAGACTGTTCTCATTAAGATCTTTTGATTGCAGAGACTCCCTCAGGCCACCTTAAAGAAAGAGGGGTTTTCTGCAGGGTAAGTGAAGCTCTCAAACTGAAGCATCCCCAGTGTGCTATTTGGTCCTTTAAACTGGCCATTTGGTCAACTTCCCTGTCACTAGAAGCTGGCTCATGCTCTTCCTCCACTGCCAGGAGAAAACTACCTCAGATAGTGTCTACACCATCATGCTATTTTCAGGGATGCTCCTGACTCTATCTTCATCTTATGGCTCCTTTCTGGGCATCCTTCGAGGATCAATTCCAATGCAGGTCATTGCAAACTGAGGTCTAGAGAGGGCACAGGGATTCCTATACCAGACAGCAGTCTGATCAGATGCCTTTTGAAATCCTGCCTGACTAGACTGAAGGATATGTGAACCTTCTGGTTTAAAAAAAAAAAAAAAAAAAGGATAGCCCTCAACTTCCCAGGAGCACATCCTGTGCATAAAAACAAATCTACCTGCTGTTAGAGAGCACCTAATGTGCTGAGTGCTGGATACAACCAGACCTCTAGTGTCTTCTTTTCACCATCTCCAGGTGGCTTAAACTCCTCCACTACTGGAGAAGCCACTCAAATGACCATATTTCCTCAAAATTTTCCCAATTTAAGGTTTTAAAAGTCAAACATCTTTCAGTTGACATGTACATTTAAAGTAGTGGTGGGGTTTTTAAAATTATTTCTGAGAAGATCTTGCCAAATCAGTGGTGCAGCTTAAAATCAGTAATGTCTTAGAATCCAGGAAATATGGTCGTTTGTTTTGTAACCAATTGAAATTCCGGTTTGAGGTTTCATACTGGGGCTTTGAAACTGCCAAAGCTGTTATCTGACATCATTTAAAGGAACACTGAACTTCAATGTGTTCCCCTATGTATCTGCAGTTGGGAGAATGGGTATCTCTGAGGCCCTGCAATCAGATCTTATCAACAAAGACAGACTTGGAAGGTTGAAGTATCAAATGGGCATGTATTTAATCACAGAGGAACTCACTGTAAATGTACTCTCAGGCAAAAGCCTTGCCATCTGTGAGCCTCAGTCTTCTCATCTGCTCAGTGGGAGGATTGTATCAAATATTATCCACATCCACAATTGCTAAAACTTCTGCTAACGTAGTATGGGCATCCTCTTTCAGAAGGCTCATCCCCTGACTTGTATAAGCTAATGGTTTGTAGGCAGTGGGAGGCAGCCTGTCCTGTGATACCTGGGCCTTCCGTTTCCATTCCCTGGGTATGTGGGGGTTGCCTGGAGACATGCATCTGTCTATTTGTAAATGTCTTGATCTAAAGGTGTGGTCTCTCCTTAAGGAAAGGAGTGTCCTCCTGCCCTGGTTCTGCCTTTAGGTGGTTGAGAGGGTCAGCAGTTTAAGAGGAAAATGACCTGTGTTAGTGTATTTTGAGGGTCAAGTTTGTCCCAGGCTGTCGTTCCTCCTCAGCTGTTCAGCTCCAAGGCTGGGCTCAGGCCTGTGCAGTTCCCCAGATAAAGTACACTAAAGAAGACCTTCCCTTTTGTGTTTTGGAGGCCTCTGTTCTGCCAAGGCCCCTCCCTCTGCTCTTCCAACCAGTAAAAGTCACAGCAGTGCATTTCCTTCCGTCAGAGAGAATCAGAGAATCAAGGCCTGGGCCAAGCCCTAGCCCCATCATGTCCTGTTCCTAAGGGCCTCCTCCCAGCTGCCTGAGTGCCTCTGACCCTGCACTCCTTTCTGGGAGGTCAGGCAGGACCAAGTATGGACTCTTGGCTAGGATCTAATTTGGATTTGAGTCTGGGTTTTTCCACTGATTTGCTGTTTGACTCTGAGCAAGATACCCTCCCTGGGTATCTTACCTCTCAGTGTCAAGTACTTTTTTCAATTGGAGGGGAAAAAAAAGAAATTCAAAAGATCCATAATCTACCACTTTAAAAGTGATGAAAGCATGTATGTGTGTGTAAAGAGGTATATCTACACATACATCTCTTTTCATTGTTTTTTTTTAACCAATATTGCTCTGTAGGCTAAATAAGAAAGTATATGTAGAATACCCAGTCTGCAAGTGCTAGTCTCCTCCCTTTTGCCCCTCAGAGTTGTATGGGCTCAGGACTTCCTGGGAACTCACTTCTTGGAGGAAACCCACTCACTCGAAGCACCCTCTGGCCAAGCCAGGGATCCTGCCCCAACCTGCCTTAGCTGCTCCAGTGCCTGCTTGCCTGCCTGGGGTGGGTCTCCGCTCCAGTGTTTCCCCAGGGACTCTAGTGAGCATTCAGCGCCCAGCAGAATGTCAGCACCATGAAGGCCAGGACTTTGTTCTAGTCAAAGGAGAGTTTCCTCACAACCTGCCCAGAAGCCCTGGCCCTAGAACAATGCCAGCACAGCTGTGATAGCTGCTGCTGTTAGTAGAGGTATGAATACAAGTGATATTTGAGGAGGTTTTGAAGCATGTATAGGATTTTGATAGGTAGAGACAACTTGGAGTCTATTCCAGCAAAGGGATTCCAGCAAGGTGGAGAGGTGGAAAAGGGCCAGGGCATAATTGGGGAAACTATAAGTAACTAGCTTTGCTAGAGTGAAGAGATAAGCATGTTATTTCTGTACTTATTTGACTATTTGTCTTTTTGTTTGTTTTCTTTTTGCATCTAGCTCTACACCTTGCATGTAGGCCCTCTGAAGAGGTATATTTATCTAGACAGACACAGGACAGGAATGCTTTGCTTTGGTGCACAGATGCAGGCACTCAAACCTCTGCCCCTAGAGAGGCATAGTGACCCTGGCTCCTTGACACACATTGGGGGAACAGGCACTTAACCTGGTGTCTTTTTGGCCTATGGCTTCTAGAGAGGGTGCGGTATTCCCTCTCATCTATGTTAGGGTGTTCATGAGTTAGCAGCCCCAAAGGGAATACAGGGATGGAAGACAGAGGCAGGAATGAAGGCCTGGTAAGGCTGGTGGCTAGGGCCTAAGCCAGGGCCTTTGCTTCTCTTGGCACCTCTGACAGGCCCTGCCCTTTGCTCCACAGGCTAGAGGAAGTCCCCCTGGAGGTGCTGAGGCAGAGGGAGTCCAAGTGGCTGGACATGCTCAACAACTGGGACAAATGGATGGCCAAGAAGCACAAAAAGGTGAGGGGTCTAGCCTTGGGCCTTGGGCTGGGAGTTGGCAGCCTGGGGAAGAAAGGAAGAGGGAGGAGCTGTATCAGCCTAGAGGAGCAGGCACTTCTCCAACTGCCACTAGCCTTGAGTGTCCCTATCTGCCAGCTCTGAAAAGGGAACAGAAGCTGGCGGGAGGGCAGGGACCAGTCTTCATTTGATCCTCCAAGATGACTTCAGACTCACACAGAACTTTGTCCTAGAGTCAAACTTCAAAGCCACTTTTAGCCAAAAGACCTTATAGGAAGCTTTCTTCCAACCCTCCTAGGAGTTCTTGCTGTTACTTAGAACATATCAGGGAGGACTTTAAAATACTAGTAATAGCTAACATGTGTTAAACATTTGCAGTGTGCTGGATACTTGACTTGAGTAATCCTTGTAACACTCCAGTGAGGTTGGTAGCAGTAGTACCCCCACTTTGTGGGTAACCCACAGAATTAAGATTTGAACCCAGGTAGCCTACATTTAGTCCCTGCATTTTTCATCACCACCCTCTAGATTAATGTGATGAGTTCCCTCTTGCCTCCCAGCCAAAGGAAAAAGAACGAAAAGTAACCTCACAGTTTAATGGTCTTATAAAAATAAGAATACCCAGTGGCCTTCTTCTAGTTGGTCTTTCTTTAGACACTAGCTCTATTGCTCCGTAGGAATACCCTTGCCCGGCACTGTGTGTGTGTGTTGATGCCCTTGGCCACCTGGGCAGGATCCAGTTACTCCCTGGCCTAGGGGAGACCTGTCTAGAACCTCATAGCCAGGGTCTCTCTGCACAAGTTCCCAGGGCACAGAGTGAACCTGCTGTCCCCTTGTCATCACCTGACATGCTGGTCTAGTCCAGGCTGGCGCAACTGGCTGCAGGGCCTAGCGGAAAGCTCAGGACTGAAGGTTAGATATGGGCTTAGGCCCAGCCCCTCTACCTTCCCCTCTTTATGCCTATGGCTAGCTGTGCAACTTTGTATGAGTCACCTCACCCTCTCAGCCTCAGTTTCCCTGGTTGAGTGGTAATGATAGTCATGTTGGGAGGCTCCCATGAATTGGTAACTATAAAGCCCTGTGCCTATGGAGGAGAGGCACACCTAGGCCTGGGCTTTTTCTTGCCGTTCTATATAGGCTTTGTAGCATACATTTTTTGCTTATTAAACATTTCTATTAAAACATTTTTTTTAAAGACTGTTGTTCTTCCTGCATGACTCTGGGGTTTATTTTCCTGCCTCCTTTCTCCTCAGGCTCTTACCCTGAGCTTCAGCTCCCTCTCTGCTGTCTGTTATGACTAGTGGCTGGCAGGGACAGTGGATCCTTCATGCCCCACCCTCCCTTGCAAATGGGGATTCCAGAGGGGAGCCTTGGGGAGCTTTCAGCAGAGCAGGCAGCATCACTTCCTCTTTCCCTTTGTTTCCCTGGAACTGTGGTTAGAGGCCAAGGGCTCCCCCTGCCCAGTAGGGGCCACTGCAGGAGGCTGTACCCCTATCCAGAGGCCCTCGCCATCTGCTCTCTACTCCTGCCACCTTAGCTGTGGTCACATTGGCCCTAGGAGCTCTTCCTGCCTGGCTGTACAGGCTTGGGTTCTCCCTGTGGTCAAGAAGTCATGGCATAGGAGGTACTATACGGGCTTCAGGAAATGCGTCCAGACCCAACACTTCTCCTGGACTTATTCTGAGTCCCCAAGAGGGGACTGTATGGAGGCAAGGTTCTGGCTGGAATGCTATCTTCCCCTGTAGGGCTCTGCTCAAACTGTGACCAAGCCCTCCCAGAGTTCAGCAGTCAGGGTGTGGCCTCACTCAGCTGTCAATCAGAGAATGATAATCCCTTGTGCTTTCTCTTTGCTGAGCACTTTCTCTTGCTTTATCTTTTCTGATCCCCACCATTGCCTCCTCTCTAAGGCAGGCAGGTGGAGTTTGCCATCTCTGTCACTTCTGTGCTGAGGAGATTCCTGAGGCCAGAGTGGGAAAAGCTGACTGTACTCCTGGTTCTCTATCCCTGTCTTCCTAGCCCTGGCCTGAGTGAGGGCAGGGCCTCTTTGAGAACCTCAATGGACTGAAGGTATTCCTGGGCTCCCCTGGGTCAGACCAACTATTACAGGGGGCGATGATGATATGGGGGCTGGCTCAGGTCAGGCTAAGCTTGGCCCTGGAGAGAGCCTAAGGGACCTGTGGCTCTAGGCCATACTATTGCCCTTTGCCAAAGCCTTCTCAGACTAAGTGGCCTCCCTAAGGAGACCCTTGTCCTACAGCAGCAGGAAACTATTCCTAGAGTCTGGGGCAGTTCCCTTTCACTGTCTTCCTTTCCCCCACCTCTTCCCTCGACCCCTTTGCAGGCAGTCCCAGAAGCTTGAGCTGCTCCCATGAGCAGCCACTCTGCTCTTCCCCCACTGCCTCTAGCCTGTCTGCCTCTCTCCTTCCTGGTTCTTGACACTCTCTGACCCTTGGAAAGTTTTCTCTTGTTTGTGCTGGTCATCAGGAAGGCTAGGGCTTCTACGTTCCTTTGAGAGATTCTAATGGGACTGTTTGAGGGGGTTTCCAGGTGAGGGCAAGTTAGGTGTGAGCCCAAGCCCCTGGGGCTTTTGTTTCAGTCATTTTCCAGGGATGGAGGGGTGGAGAGGAAGGCATTTATTGAATACAGACTATGTGTATAAATGCCCCATGCTAGGCATTTTCCCACCCTTCTAATAGAATTTTAGATAATGCCATTCTGTTCTTAACTATTGATGAGAATTGATTGGCTTAAGGTCAGCACTGGATTTCAAGTCACATCCAGTTGCTCTTCCTACTGCTCTGAACTCCTAGACCATGCTGCTTAGTGCAGGGGCTGAGGGGAGTGTCATTGGCCAGTACCCCCAACCTCCGTTCTGTAGGAGTGGTGCCTCTGCTTTTGCAAATCCTCCATGACCATTGGCCTTGAGGTCAATAAACATAGCTGCCTCAGTCTCATTCTGTCCCAAAGCCCAAGTGGAGCTCTCATCTAACTCCAAGAGGCCAGTGAAGTGCAAAGTGCATGGGGCTGAATCCCTCTAGTATGGTATAGGAGGTAATGGGTTCCTGATGGTGTGACCTTAATATTTTCCCAATCTATGTTTCAGTTTTCCCATTTAAGAGACATGATTTTTCAAACTGGATTTTGACAGTGGAAGCCTTTTTCTGATAAAGAGAGCAAGTATAAGAATTAAGCACTAGCTCTGGGTCATGAGCTACCCCAAACACTTCCTCCCTCTCCTCTCCTAGTCTGTGAGTGATAGGAAAGACCTGTGCCTTTGTAGCAAGAGATGAAATCAGATCTCACAGCCAGGCTGGCTGCCTCTGCCCTGGGCTGGTAATTGTGGGAGCTCAGGGTCAAGGAGAACAGAAGAAAGGATTCATGACCAAAACAAAGAGGGAGCCATTCTGATCAGCTCTCATTTTCCTTCTGAGTTCTGCTGAGTTCCCCTCTAGGTGGATTGTGTCCTGCCACACAACTACTTAAACAAATACCCCCTTGGAAGTGCCCAGGCAATGTCTCTGGGCACATTCTGGGTTATCTCAAAGGCTATTCAACTTGCAGCTGCAGCTGTGTCCCACACAATGCAGATCCCTCCCTAGTGATATCCATGGGGCTCCTCCAACTTGAATGGTTCCATTTTGATTCAGAAAGTGGGCATGGGAATTCAGAATTATGTGGTAAATGTCAGGAATATCTGTTCTATCATTGGGCCAGGGGAACATGGAGACTGACATCACCTGGTGACAGCATTTCTACAGTCATTACTCCCTCTGCCCCTGGCATCCTAGGCTATGCACCGTAGCAATAGTAGCAACAGGAGGAAAGTCCTCTTTTCTTCCCTTTCCTACTTGCCTCATGTGCTAACTGAAGGCCCACCAAACACTGACAGAGGAGCTGGGTTTGTACAAAGCCTCTGGAGGAGTTGCCTGGGTGGATGCATGAACACAGTCCTCTTTTTGACTTTCAGATCCGTCTGCGGTGCCAGAAAGGCATCCCACCTTCTCTGCGGGGCCGTGCTTGGCAGTACCTGTCAGGAGGCAAGGTGAAGCTACAGCAGAACCCTGGGAAGTTTGATGTGAGTGGCCCTTCTTTCACCCTTCCCTCCCCTTTCCACATCTCTTGATGTCCTTTCCATGGCAGCAGTCCTCCATGTGTTCACTTGGAGCTCAGCAATATGAGCTGATTAATAGGACCACCCATCAAATGCCCCACTAACCAAGCCTGTCCAACCTGTGACTCCTGGGGGCTCTGCCCATCTAAAGCTCCAGCAATTAGCAGGCTTCAGTGAGATAGACGGATTTTCCATCTTCCATTCCAGCTCTTTCTCTTGTCAACGACCCAATTTTGCTTTCTTGGGCTCATCAGGAGGGGACACTCAGACCAATTCCCTGACTGCCTTGGGCTCTGTACTATGGGCCTTTGAGGGCCTACCCTCAGGGACACAGAACCCTCAGTAACTCTTGGCCTCCCAACCTCGACTCTTTTCTCCTGCCTCATTCAAGCTGGCCAGACACAGTTCACCCATGCTGCTATTGAGGTTGTCAGCTTTAGGGGTGGCAGAGCTAAACCAGTATCCTTATGGGTTAGAAACTAGTCAGTGGTCAGAGAGGGTATCCTCTGTAGGCATGCCTTCCCCTCCTCACTTGCTGCCCGCTGCTCCATGGCTGCCAGAGTAAGAACACCCTTACATTCATGAGGCTTCTTAGGGCTGACCTGGGCTGGGAAGCTCCTCCAGCATGCTCCCCAATGGGAGGCACTTGGCTCCCCTGGGATTACCCTGCTTACCTGCCAGACCTGGCCCCAGACATCAGAGTTTCTCCCAAGCTCTTGGGACTGGTAACAGGCAGTGAGAGAGCTGTCAGCTACCAGCTCTTTGTTAACATACTTCATTCTTTGGCAAACACTCTTGTTTTGCCAAACCTGTTCCCTGAGAAGAGTGGGTGGGGCAGGGCAGCCTAGAGTTTCTGCTGTTGATGAGGCTTGAGAATCATTTGCTAGCAGTACTTGGCAATGGGGCTAGGGGGTTTGGTGGAGTGTCTGGCTGGGGGCAGCTCTGGGAATCAGGGTGATTGGACTATCCCACAGAGCATCCATACCAGGCCCTGCTAGAGCAGCCTCTTGACTCCAATGTCTTCTCATCCCTTTCATTTCAGGAGGCTGTATCCTGGGTGGAGGGGGGGAGCTCAGCCGTGGGAACCTCTCCTCAAGTCCATGATTTACCTCTGGCTGCTAGAGCATAGGTATGGGAGCCAAGAGCTTAATCGGCCAGGCCAGACTTCTGGTTCCATAGTTAGTAAATATGAGCACATCCTGTGTGAGTAGCAGAGCACAAAGCTGTGTGTGCATTTTGTGTGGGGGGAGTAGTGTGTCTGGAGAGAAATCAGCCAGGTAGATTTGCCAGGAAAGGTCTTTTAGATGCCCTGAAGCTGAGTGGTGGGTCCCCAAGGCAGTCCTGGGGGCTAGAACAGTGGTTTTCGAGCACATCTAGAAGAACTTTGCCTGTGGATGACATGGAGGAAGTGAGTAAGGATGAGAAGCTCCCTCTGGGTGCTGTGGACATGACAGCCAGAGGCAAGGGTACAATGACAGGCTATTGGTGGCAGCACATAACAGCATCTATTCCTGTGCTCCCCCTGAAGACCCAGGGGGGCCAACCCCAATCTCAGCTGTCAAGGCAGGTTCTGCAGCCTCTCACGGCTCCATCTTCTCTCATAGTTGCTACTTCTTCCTCCCTCATTGGGCAGGGCAAGACCTTCTGTCCTTTTCTTACCTGGTTTTCTTCTCTGGCTTCATCTCATGATGGCGGAAGTGTCTTCAGGCTTTCCTGGAAGCTGCTGTAGCTGCATCAGCTGCTAGCAGCCCACACTTACCTTTGATTCTCAGAGCCCTTTCTTCCCACAGGCCCTTCAGCTATACTTCTTCCTTTCTCAGCCACCCATGCGTGGTCAAGTGTCTTGGGCTGCTAAGGTACCAGGTGAGCACATCCTAGGAACTGACTTCTTGGGTTCTCAGGTCCCTACCTTACCAGAACCCTCTGGAAAATTTGTGGGTTCCTCCTCCACTTTCTGACAAAAAAATCCTGCATTGGACTCAGACAGTATCCAGCCCTGGGCTTGACTTGGAAGCCTCATAGGACACAAGCCCCCATCTTGAGAATATATGAGACTCTAGAGTTTATATACCCACTTCTTCAGCTGTGTGCCTGATCAAAACCCCTCTGTGGAGTCATTTGGTCCTTCTCTCCACCCTCCAGCCTTGAACACTCTTAACGGTTTTTTCACTCAGTACTTACTCTCTCATGTCAAGTTACCTGGTACCCTAAGGTCTTTAGTTTAATGTCAGAACACATCCACTGAGGGAGCACAAGAAGGAAAGGGGCTTGTATGAACATACCTGCCAATCAAGGCCAAGGCCTGGGTCTGTGCCCTCAGGTGTGTTTGCTGAGAATCTAGCCCTTATCCCTGGGGCCTTCCCTAATGCTGCACCAGCCCTGTCCCTGCTCCGCCCTCTAGATTTCCTTTTTATTGATTTTTTCTATTGCTATTTTTTTAAAGATTTATTTATTGACTTGAGAGAGAGCAAGAGAGAGTGCAAGCATGTGCGAGTTGGGGGAGAGGCAGAAGGAGAGGGAGACAAGCAGACTCCCCCTTGAACGGGGAGACTGATGTGGGGCTCGATCTCAGGACCCTGAGATCATGACCTGAGCTGAAATCAAGAGTCAGACACTTAACCAACTGAGCCACCCAAGCGCTCCAGTTTTTTCTTTCTATTTTTAATGTTGGGGCATTTACAGAGAGAGAAATGTACAGATCTTAAGTGTGTAATTCGATGAATTTTGACAAATAATACATATCGATGTAACTAATAAGCAAATCACGACATAGAACATTTCAAATGATGGGGAAATGATTTTTCTTGTGTAATACTTTGTTTTTAAGTATTACATGGGGGTAATGGGGGTGCCTGGATGGCTCAGTTGGTTGAGCAGCTGTCTTCAGCTTGGGTCATGATCCCAGGGTCCTGGGATTGAGCCCCACATCCACCTCCCTGTTCTCCCTCTGCCTGCTGTTCCTTCTGCTTGTGCTCTTTCTCTCTCTGTCAGATAAATAAAATCTTTAAAAAAAAATGGTACTCATGTTAAGATATTCAAGAAGTTCAAAGAAAAGAGTAAAACTTTGTCAAAACTCCAGCACCTAGAGATGGTTCTGATTGGTTTGACAAATGTCATATCCTTCCAGATAGCACTCTGTGCAGATCCTCCCTCCATCCCTCTCTCCTAGACACACACACACACACACACAGTAGGTGATGCCACTTGCACGGAGAGACAGCAGAGGAATTCAAATCAGTGGCTCTAAGTCAACCTGGCTTCCAGGCCCAGCCTCACCATTTTTTCTAACCTTGAGGACTTGGGCAAGTAACTTTTCTTTGATCCTCAGTTTCCTCATCTGTAAATAGTATAAATGATAGGACTTTTATTTGGGGTTGAGAAGAGTCAGTGAGTCCCATGGGTGGCTCAGAACAGTGCTAACCAGTGGTAGCTATTGCTTTGATAGTAGCCTTCTATCTTAGGACATAAGGTATTTGAGTGAGTCCTGAATAAAGTACCTGGAGATTATTTCCAGCCATAGCTATGACAGACACTCTTGACTACATGGGTCTTCCTGGAGCCAGGATCACCCCTCAGGGTTTATAGGGCTCTTCCCTCCTTGCCTTTTTGCCGCTTCTCTCTCATTCTCAGACTTCTGACTTGTCTTCAGGAAGGCTCAGTTCATGATGGGATTGGGTGGGTATTGCCCCTGGCAGAGGCTTTCTCTAATACCTTGGAAGTTGTATCTTCCCAGCAGCCATCCCTAACCCCTAATACATGGTCTTGATCTTGCTTCTAGGAGCTGGACATGTCCCCTGGGGACCCCAAGTGGCTGGATGTGATTGAACGTGATCTGCACCGGCAGTTCCCTTTCCATGAGATGTTTGTGTCCCGGGGAGGCCATGGGTGAGCAGACTGGGTCTTGTGGGCTGGAGGTGGCTCTGGGCCCTGTCTCTCAGGGCACAGAGGAGGCAAAATGGGTTTGGGTGTATCTCAAGGGCTCAGAAGCTGAGAGCCCCAAACTCCACTTACTTTTAGAGTTTCCCTTTGGTTTGAATCTGATGGGTCTCCTTAGCTTCTTCCCTTACCTTTGGGGCAGCTTTCATTTAGAGTCCTAGAGCTTGCCTGGTCTTCTTCTGAAAACAGGTTTTGGTGGAGAGAAAGAGGGTTAGAGACAATTAGGTGGGCAGAGGGTAAGTAGGAGGGGAAAGATAGGCAGGCCAGGCCAGAGGACCAAGATAGACACCTAGGACAAAGCTATCCTATCTGGCCAAGGAGACACAGCTGCTGAATGAGAGGCCCACACTGCCAGCCCTGACACACCCTTCCCTTGTATCTGGCATCCTGCCTGGCTTTACCTCTGCTTTTTCTCTAAGCCTCTGCTCTCACATGTCAGATAGGGTGGGACAGGGGAAGGTGCCTTCCCTGCCTCCTCTTCTTGTTTTGTGAAAGTCTCTGTGCTGCAGTGGGAGACTGACCCCTTGTTCACCACAGTCAGGTCACCAGGGAAATGCAAATTCTGAGACAGTTCTAGTCTGGTAGTGGGTGGCAGAGTCATACCTATCTTCCCTGCCGCACTTGGCCCTTCTACAGCCAGCAGGATCTATTCCGTGTGCTGAAGGCCTATACCCTTTACCGACCTGAGGAGGGCTACTGCCAGGCCCAGGCGCCCATTGCTGCTGTTCTGCTCATGCACATGCCTGCTGAGGTACCACCAGGCCCTGGACAGGTGAGTGGGTGGGCAGGGAATATTCAGCAGCAAGGCCTCATGTCTCTCTTGCCCACAGCAAGCCTTCTGGTGCCTGGTGCAGATTTGTGAGAAGTACCTGCCTGGCTACTACAGTGAGAAACTGGTGAGTGCATGCTGGGTCCAGACCTGGCCTGGGACCTGCTCTTTGTGGCCTCTCTAGGTCTTTCTTTCCACAGCCACTGTTGCCCCACCTGAAAACCTTCCCAGATTTCTGTCGCTTTCAGCCTTAAGACCCAAGACTTGCCAGGGTCAGGTCTTCTAGGCTCCAGAGTCATTGGTTCTACCCTGGCCTCCATCTTTGTTTCTAGCCATCTGGCCATTTGGCGGGATCGCAGTTCCTCCAGTGCACCGAGTTCCTCCCTGCCTCAGCCGTGGCCTAGGCTTAAACCTCTACCCCCTTCATTTCTGTAATAACTCTCCTTTCCTTTAGCTTTCAGCTATCAGAGAGCTTTCTGTGACCCTGACAGGTGGGACCTCTGGCACATGCTAATCCAGCATTTCTGGTTCTGCCATATTCTGGGCATTTACCCACCTCTCCCACCAGCCCCTGCACTGCCCCTAGTCTCTCTGCTTCTGTGATTCATCTGTCTGTCCCTTCTCACTACATGCTCCATGAGGTGGACCAGCTACATCTGGTTTGCTCTTCATTATATCCCAGCACCTAACACAAGGTTGCCTCCCTGCAGGCAGTACCTGCCTGAGGGATGAATGAATGCCTGCCTGGAACTAGGAACCGGGGCATAGTCTGTCCTGCCTGCTTTGAGCCTACAGTCCTGGCCCCATGGCTTCACTGTGTTCCCCAGGAGGCAATCCAACTGGATGGGGAGATCCTCTTCTCACTGCTGCAGAAGGTGTCACCTGTGGCCCACAAGCACCTCAGCCGGCAGAAGATCGATCCACTGCTGTACATGACAGAGTGGTTCATGTGTGCCTTTGCCCGCACCCTGCCCTGGAGCTCTGTGCTGCGCGTCTGGGATATGTTCTTCTGTGAAGGTACCGGGCTGGGCTCAGAACACCACTACCTCTAACCCAGCCCACAGGGGACCTCTATTTTCAGAGAAACTCCTTACAGGCCATTTTACCACCCCCTCATGCAGGAGTCAAGATCATCTTCCGGGTGGGGCTGGTGCTGCTGAAACATGCGTTGGGCTCCCCTGAAAAGCTCAAAGCCTGTCAGGGCCAGTACGAGACTATCGAGCAACTGCGGAGCCTCAGCCCCAAGATCATGCAGGAGGCCTTCCTGGTCCAGGAGGTATGGCCCATACCTTCCCATCACCACTGGGTGGGAGTGGGAGATGTGGGGGGATTTAGAATTGACCTGGTAACACTCTGCTCTGAAGGTGGATCTCTGAGGCCAGGCCTGTTGCTCATCAGCTCAGGATAGTGTGGAGAGACCTTATCCTCCTGTCTGAATGAGAAGACAGGGGCATAAAGAGGCCTAGGTTTGCAGGGCCTTCTCTGTTGTGAACCACTTGGGAATGAGAGGAGCTGAAATTCATCACCCTCTCTTCTTCTCTGGTATCAGATCCATGGCCTTGGCTTTATTTTCCCTTTTTTCTTTCTTTTGTGGATTTTCATCCACAAATTCTGAGCCCTCAGGGACGGTACTTAGGTGACACATAGTTAGGCAAGGGGACTTGAGTTATGGGCAGCGTTCTTTAAGGCAGTGGGTCTTAAGTGCCTGGCTCACCTGACACTTAGCTCTGGGACTTGTGATCACCACAGGGACCAGACCACCATTATTCCTAGGGTCGGACTTTAGTGACCAGGACTGGGGGATCTGAGGGAGAGCAGGGCCAGGTTGGGAGGCAGAGGGGAAGTTTCTTCCTGGTGCCCATCTTCCTGTCATCGCCCACACAGGTGGTAGAGTTGCCAGTGACAGAGCGCCAGATTGAGCGTGAGCACCTCATTCAGCTGCGGCGCTGGCAAGAAACCCGGGGTGAGCTGCAGTGCTGTTCCCCGCCCAGGCTGCATGGTGCCAAGGCCATCCTGGAGGCAGAGCCAGGTCCCCGGCCCACCTTGCAACCTTCACCATCCATCCGCCTGCCCCCAGATGCCCCCCTCCCTGGTTCCAAAGGCAAGCCCAAGACACCCAAGCAGAGCCAGAAGGAGAAGGAGCAATGGGAACAGGCAAAGGCAAGTGGGCAGCTGGATAAGCTCCCAACCCCAAGTCAAGCCAAGGGGGCAGCTACTGCAGGAGATGCGTGTCGCCCACAGGATGTGCCCCCCAGGGATGCAGCCCACCAAGATCCAGCCCTTCAGGACTCAGCCTCCCAGGATCCAGCCCATCACCGCTCCCAGGATTCAGTTCACCACTGCTCCCAGGAGAGTCTGACCTCCCAGGAGAGTGAGGATACATACTTGTAACCCCGGCAGCTCAGGCCTGTGGGGTGAGGCTCCACACACCCCTGGGGCTCACAGACTGACAGCCAAGGGCCTGCCCATGCTGATGGCCCAGCTGCCCGGCCCTGTGTGGCAGAGAGTCTGGCCGGCCCAGCACAGACTCTGCCTGAGCCTTTTTATTTATTTCCTCCCGAGTGGAGCTTGGGCTAGCCCGCTGGGGCCGGGGGAGGTGAGGGCCAGTGAGCAGGGCCTCACTCAGCCCCTCTTCTTGGGGGATGCTCCCTAGGGCTGGGGTGCTGTGGTGAGGGGGGAAAGGGGGGTGTTCTTTATGTAAAATAGAAACATGGTTTTGTACAGAAATAAACCGGCTTGTGTAGAGAGTTGGTGTGCAGCAAGGGACCGGTAAGGGGAGCCACCTGGCGCTCAGCAGCTCTCCTCTGTGCCCTAGACCCCCCAGCCCAGAACCAGAGCTCTCTGAGAAGGCTTTTGCCATAGGCCAGTCCTTATTCTGGACCCCGTTTTCCCTTAACCCATCACCTCCGCCCCGTGTCTACCAGTCTGCCATAGATGAGAGACTACAGCCTCTTAGATGCTCCAGTGCTAGCACTGTAGCCCACAGAGCCTCAGCCCAATGCCGGAGCAGAGCAACGCCTGCTTCCCAGGCTTTGATACCTACTCATCTCTGAGGAGGAGGGGCTCCTTAAGGAGGTGTTTTCAGGGCCTCACCTGGGTTCCACTTCAGACCCCAGTAGGGTTCTGAGTGTTCATTTTGAGTTGCGAGCTGGTGCCAGGGGTGAGAGACCATGAATGCCCTTACATGGTGAGTTCAGGCCTCCATTGGACACAGAGGGGTGAGGGAAGAAGTTTGGGTCTTTGATGAAAGGCTACCTGCCGCTTCCTGAGCACTTAGCATGTGCCAGTCTGGGCTGGTTGGGTCACCAGCTGATCAGATAGGCTCTATTATTATCCCCATTTTACAGATGAGGAAACAGAGGAGCTGAATGGGAAAGATGAATCTGGTCAATTTGCACCTAGAGCCCCCTGTGACCAGGGTGCCTGGTGACCTGGCAATGCCACTGAGGGCCCAGGCAGGCACTATGGTCACGACCTGATGACTGTCAAGGGTAAGGACACGGTGTCCCTGGGAAAGGCCCCCCTTCTGCTGAGGAAGCAGCTTTTCCAGTCAAACAATAGCGGCTGTTCCTGGCAGGCTACCAAGCTGGGCTGGGCCATGGTGGAAGGGAGTGGGAGAGGGAGGAGTAGAGCCTCCCTAGGAGTTTTCAGGCCTCACAGGGCCTGGGCCTGGAACACCCTGTCATGATACATCTGGGGATACTGAGGCCTAGGGAGGTCAAGTGTCATGTGAGTCTATCAGGGCAGGCTACCCACTTCCTGCCTTCTACCCCTCACTTCTGTGGTTTCCCACCCCATTTATACCTGCCACGAGAGGCTTTGAGGACACTCCCCTCCCCCTGGCTCTCCAGGGGACAGGCCAGGATGTGGCAGCTGCAGTGTTCCTTGAGCCAGAGAGGCCAGGGAGGGAGGGTGCTGCCCAGCTTCCACCCGCCTACAGTAGAGGTTTCTGAGCAGGCAGGAGGCTTGTGTAGGCCTGCTGGGTCCCAGTCAGGCCTGAGGCCGGCTTTAACCTGTTTGGTTCAAAGCCTCAGATCTGAAGCCTGAGGATGCTCAGGCCAGACAAGGGCCCCCCAGAGCATGCTCTGTCCTGCTACAGGACCAGTCTAGGTGTGCTGATTATCTGCTTAAAACTGAGCAGAACCCAGTTCTAATGTTGAAATGAGCCCAAGTTGGTCTTATAAGCCTCAGATCTGGGGCATCTGCCAATGCCCGGGGCCTCCATGGGCATGAAGCAAGCTTACATGTGCTCAGGCCAACTGGGTTCTGCTAATAGGCTGCAGGCTTTGGGAGGCTTCAACAGGGCTCAAGTCTCAGGTCTGAGATCTGAGTACCCAGTGAGCCCCAGACACATGGGCCTGTCCCCTGAAGTCAGCCTTGAGCATCCCTGGCCCAAGCACTTAGTCTTGAAGGGTCTCAAGCCATAAGCCTGACCACCTTCATTCCCCTACCCCACAGTATGTTGCTCAGATATAAGTGGCTGGCCCTCCCCAAATCTGTACCCTAGTGTGTAAGCGCCTTCTTCCTCCATAAGGAGAAGGGGGGGGAGAAAGGCGGCAGGACCCTTTGTCGGGAGAGAATCTCAGCATCACCGGGGCTGCACAGCCTACCCCTCCATGCTCCAGGGTTTTCTGGGCAGCACTCTGGTTCCAGCTGAGCCCCGATTCGCCTCGCAGCCCTTTGGAGCTTCAAGGTTATCAATTATTAGACCTATACGGGGGCCTGAAGGACAGAAACAATTCCAAGACCTCCCTCCTGCTTCGGACCCTAGCGAGGAAGGCGACCCGCGGAAAAGGCGGAGCCCGGGGAGGGGGCGCGGCATGGGCGGGGCCTGAAGGACCCCCTGGGGTGGGATCAGCCCGTGATTCCCCGAAGCCAGGCTGAGAGGGCGGAGTCACCAGGGGCGGGCTCTGCGGGCAGGAACGTGAGGATTGAGGCTCTGGCCTCGGGAAGGAGGCGTGGCCACTCTGGATAGGCCGTCCGTCCCTCGGGGCGTGGCCGTCAGGGAACTGGACGCGGCATGGGGTTGGGAGGGTCTGCAGCGTAGCGGGCGGCGTGGACGCGGCCACACAGCGGCTCCTTTAAGCCCCCGGCACCGCCCCCCCCGCCCCGCCCCCGGCGGCGGCCTGGGTCTGGTTGGCGGCGGGGTCGGGTCCGCGCGGACCGTGATGGAGCTGCACATCCTAGAGCACCGGGTGCGGGTGCTGAGCCTCGCCCGCCCAGGTCTCTGGCTCTACACTCACCCGCTCATCAAGCTGCTCTTCCTGCCCCGCCGCAGCCGGTGCGCGCCCGGGTCCGGGGGCACAGGTGGGGGTGGGCTCCGCTGTTGCTCTGGGACGGGGTCGGGAGATTCACATCGCCGCGGGGCGAGCGGGAGCGGTCGGGGAGGGCCCTTCTCCCTGTGCCCCCCCCGCCCCCCCGAGGCCGCCATCCGGCTTGGGCCTACCCTCCCGGGACCGCCGCCTATCCGGCCCTGTGAGGCGCCGTCCCAGAGCCAGTTACGGCGCAAACAACCTGGGGTGAGCAATGCCTAACTCCAAGTGGTGTCAAATGGGGGCAATTCCTTCCTGGCGACTGCGGGGAGCTTCTTCCAGACGCCCTCCCGTCGGGTCAGAGGGGCTGGTCTAGGGCGCCCAAAGTCCGATGCTCCAGGGGGCTACGGGGGCGTAGCGCGGGCGAGCCTCTTCTCCTTCCGGGAACCGAGGGTCGGGAGCTCCCGCAGAGGTCGGGAGGCGAAAAACAGTGATTCCGGTGATGAAGCCCACGCCCCACTGGCCCGGGGAGAAAACTGAGGCTCGAGGGGGCAGGGAGGCGTCCTGCAGGGGTCTTTCCGGGCGCCTGGAGCGAAGTCCTGCACGCCCCTTCCGCCCAACCCAGGCTGAAGATGCTCCCCCCGCCTCCAGGTGCAAGTTCTTCAGCCTGACGGAGACCCCTGAGGATTACACGCTCATGGTGGACGAGGAGGGCTTCAAAGGTGGGGGCTGGGCCGGGAAAGGGTGGCGTGCACCCCTCTTTGCGATTCTCACTAGATCCTGGGATCCAAAGTCCCAAGAGCTGGAGCCTTGAAAGCAGATGGGTCTGGGTTCGAATTCGCCTCCACCGCACACTGGCTGTGTGCCCTTGAGCAAGTCATTTCCTCCCACTGAGCTGTTTGTTTCCTCTTACGTAAAATGGGTATAGTTGTGGTTCTGATCATAGGGTCCCATGAAAACTTTATAGACAGGGCTGTGAAGGGCACTTGGCAGCCTCAGGCCAGTTGCAGGGCCAGTTTAGGGCAAGAATCAGAGGTTCCTATTGCAGTATATTCCCCCTGGCCATTATTTCTCCCTGCACTTATCTCTCTGGTGCCGGTCACCCCCTCCCTGGCTGGTCTGGGAACTCCAGGAGTCTGAGGGTTGGAAAAGGAGTGCAGGAGCAGGCAGCCAGCCCATGTCCAGGTCCTGGGGGGCCTCCTGGCTGCTGCTGTGGCCTGGACACCAGCCTGTTTTCTCCCTGGTCCCTGAAGCTGACATCTGGCTCCTACTCCTGCCAGCCTGACCCCTCTTCACAGGCCTGGAGTCGCAGACCACGAAACTGAGGCTCGGCCCATCCTTCACTGCAGTCTTTTAGACTTTAGTTTCCCGTTTGTACTGCAGTAAAGTCTGGGTCGGCTAAGGGAGAAGGGCTTCCCTCAGCCAACCTGGTTTGTTGGCGCCCCCTGCTGGTGCCACATGGTATAAAACCTCTGTTAGTCTAAGAAAAGCTATCATGAGGTGTATACTCTCAATCCCATTTTACTGATGAGGAAACTGAGATCCGGAGAGGTTAAATCATTGACCTCGGGTCAACAGCAAGTAAATGGTGAAGCCGGGATTTGAACCCAGGTCTGTCTGACTCTGGAGCTCCAGTCTTAACTGGGAAGTTTCCATCCCTAGCAGGCCAGCACCTGAAGCACTTCTCAGTTCTTGCATACATGCAGCTCTCAGGAGCAGAACTTGGGAGAGGGAGACAGCCCCAGTCTCCAGACCTGCCATTACCTTCGTAGAACCCCCCACCCCCAATTCCTGGACAGACAGGGAAGCCAAGGGGCAGGGGCCAGCCCAGTAGGCCCTGACCTGGTATATACTTCCTGCTCACAGAGCTACCCCCATCTGAGTTCCTTCAAGTGGCTGAGGCCACATGGCTGGTGCTGAACGTGTCATCTCACAGTGGTGCAGCCGTGCAGGCTGCCGGAGTCACCAAAATTGCCCGCTCGGTCATTGCACCACTGGCAGAGCACCATGTGTCTGTCCTGATGCTGTCCACTTACCAAACGGACTTCATCCTGGTGAGTTTTCTGCAGGCTCCGGGGCAGGGTGGGCATGGGTGCCTGGGGACTCGTGTTACATCCTCCTCTTGTGGTCCAGGTGCGGGAACAGGACCTGTCCGTGGTGATCCACACACTATCCCAGGAGTTCGACATTTACCGGGAAGTGGGTGGGGAGCCTGTGCCTGTTGCCAGGGAGGATTCCAGCAATGGCTTTCCCCGTTCGCAGCATGGTGAGGCTACCCTCACACCCAGACCTAGGCAGGGCCTCCTCTTCCCACGGGGGCCCTTCCCTTATGAGAGCTGGTCTGTGGACGTGGGGATACCGGCTGACATAGACTGCCTCACAAGATAGGGAGATGTGGTGGAGAAGAGGGTTCCTGTAGAGCAGGACCCTACCCTCCACCCAGGCCCCTCCCTACCTGGCCACCAGGGGGCGCCCCAGCCCACAGTCGTCCTAACAGTAGTTCTCTGCCTGGTCCCTCCTGGCAGGGCCTAGTCCCACGGTGCATCCCATCCAGAGCCCCCAGAACCGCTTCTGTGTCCTCACATTGGACCCTGAGACACTGCCAGCCATCGCTACCACGCTCATCGATGTCCTCTTCTACTCCTACAGGTGAGCTGTGTTCTCATGCCGTTGCTCCCTATGCCTACCACCTTCTGCTTGTTCTGTAACTCTGTGCCCTGTTCTGTATCTTGGGTTCCTGGCAGCCTGTGATACCCATGTGCCCCTCACTGATGTTCAGGGAAGGTCCCAATGCCACAGCTGCAACCCTTTCCTGTAGTGTAAGCTGAGACACCCCTGACCCAGGCCTTGGGTCGGACCCTCTATCAGTCCTGGGGTCCAGCATCTTTGAAACAAGCGAGATTCATCGTCCCCTCCCACCCCTGTCCAATCCCCATCAGGGTATCAGGGCCCTCAGACAGGGGAGGAAAGTGGCCCGGAGAGGGGAGGAGATGCAGTGGGCTGGGTACCCCGAAGAGCACTTGAGCCTCCTGTTCTTTTCTAGTGCCCCCAAGGAGGCAGCCTCTGGTGGTACTGGACCCAGCTCCATTACATTCTTTGCCTTCTCCCTCATTGAGGGCTACATCTCCATCGTCATGGACGCTGAGACGCAGAAAAAGTATGTGACTCCTGAGCCCTAGGGACCACAGATCCCAAGGCCAGCCCTAGGGAGGGAGGAAATGGAGTAGACTCTGAGGTCACTAGGTCAGCCTGCTTCCAGGGGCTCACACTGGGGCAGGGAGGGGATGGGTGGGTGCCCTGCCCACTACCCACCTGCCTTTCCAGATTCCCCAGTGACCTCCTGCTAACCAGTTCCTCAGGAGAGCTGTGGAGGATGGTGCGCATTGGTGGACAGCCCTTGGGCTTTGGTAAGGGCTGCTTCTTGTGTGTTGGGGACTTGGGGAAGATCTGCGAAGGGGATGACCAGGATGATGTACATGGACTCCTTCCCCCTGCCCCAACCCTCAGATGAGTGTGGGATCGTGGCCCAGATTGCAGGCCCCCTGGCTGCAGCCGACATCTCTGCCTATTACATTAGCACCTTCAACTTTGACCATGCCTTGGTAAGCACCGTGGGTTGGGCTCCTGGAAGGACACTGAGGCCCTGGAGGGTGGGAGGGTGCAGAATGTAGTCCAGGAAGTTGACATGGCCCTGATCCCTCCCTCCACCCACCTGCCCACAGGTGCCTGAGGATGGTATCAGCAGTGTCATTGAGGTCCTCCAGCGACGGCAGGATGGCCAGAGCTCCTGAGGCCTCCACATTCTCCCTTCACCCCAGGCTTCCAGAGACTTCTCTAAGCTATTTCCTCAAGCTCTGGGATGAGCCTTCCCCACCCCCATTCCTGCCGGGGGACCCCCTCCTTCTGCTCTCTGTATTAAGCTGCGTGAAGGCACCGGCTCTCATGTGGACATGCGTGTCTGCCCACGCAGGGGAACACGGTGCTCAGGGCTTTCCTCACCCCATCACTCCCTGCGCGGCCTCAGTGTTTGCACATTCCCTGCCTGAGGCCCGAGCCATCCCCTCTCAGCACCCTGGGCCAGCCACTGGACAGGGTCCTTATCTCCGTTCTGCCTCTGGCTGGGTTGCCTTCCCTGGCCAGGTGAGTTCTGACAGTGCCTGCCCCTCAGGGGGCCTCCAAGAAAAGTATTTTTACATCTTTCTCCCTTTTTTATTGACTTGTTAATAAAGGGCTTGTAGTTCTAAAGGGTTGGACTGTGGTCTATAGGGGTTGTCTGAGCTCAGACAGGGCTGCTCTGCTGCTGCTCCCAGCCCCTCTACCTGAAGTCCGGGTCTGTCCCTATGTACCTGACTCTGGCTGGGCTCACCTAACTCAATTCTCACCTCAGGGAGAACTGAACCTTTGAGAAGTGAAGTGACTTATTCCCATGCAGGGCTACCTGCCTCTGAAGCCCAGCCTCTTCCTTCCTTCCTTGCTGCTTCTGGAATAGCCCAGAAAGTTCTGAACATGGTTAGAGGCTCTGAGACCCTCCCACCTAGAGATCCTCCCCGCTTCCCAGCCTTTCCTGCCACCTTGGGTGTGACTGGCCTATTGTGAAACCCCTCAAGGAGGGCTCCAAAGCACACTTCTTCCAGGCTGCTGCCTGCCTGCTTTTGGACCATGCCTGAGTCCTGGAGGTCCCTCACAGGAGTCCCTGTTGGCCAAGAGATCAGTTAGTTCTTGTCACCACGGCTCTCCTGGAGTAGTAGGAAGAGGGGGCCAGCCAGAGTGGAGACCTGAGAGTCCAGGCACTGGGCTTCCCCTGGCCAGGACAGGACATGGGCCTGGAGGCCACCTGGAACCCACTCTGCCTTCAGAGACTGCCTTCCTGGTCCAGAGACTTAGCACATGTGGGCCTGGGTCTCCTGTCACAGAGGGGCTGCTTCATTGCTCCATGATACCGGGCTTCCACTGTGGGCCAGATGGGACCCTAGAGATGTGCTGGGGAGGTTATCAGGTACCCTCAGCCCAGACCCACCCACGTTCAGGAAAGGAAGAAGGGTGTGACTTCGGCGTATTTAGAGGTCACAGTGTCTCCCCAGAAAAGACAGAACGGGGGCCAGGCTTCTGGCAGTGTGCCCGCCCTGCCCCTGGGAACCCAAGGGGCTGCAGATCACAAGAGCAGAACGCACAGCCCAGCCCGGTGAGTGAGTGGTCGGGGACCCTTGGCCTGCCCCTTCCCTTCAGACTCCATTTCCAATGTATCAAGATCTAGGAGGCAGCTTTTTCAGGACCCCTCTGCTTTTTGACACTGGAAAGGGGCATTGCTTTGTATTTTGATGTCAGGGGGTGGAGTGAGAAGTTCTGGCCTCCCTCTGGAGGGCACAGCCTGGACCCTGGGTCAGAGGATGTTCGGGCTGAGTGGGGGCTTTAGAACCAGAATCTTTGGGGCTCCTGACCTGAGAGCTCCTGGGCCCCACATTCATCTTTGGGGGACGGGGGGTGGAGGGGTCTGTCCATCTATCTGCTTGGGAGTCACTGCCTGATTTAGATGTTTCTATTATCATGGCTTTCCAGGTACATTAGGGCTTTGCCCAGTCCTTCAAACCAGGTCCTAATCTGGCAGCAGTTAGTTCTTGTAGTGCCCACAGGACTGGCCTGGGGAAGGGGCGCCCCCTGGGTAGTCTGACTTAGACCCAGGCCTAGAGCCCATGTGTGTCTCTTTGCCACATGTGTGTGGGTCTTTGTGGAGGGTTTTATTCCCAGGGCATTAGGGTCCTTGGGGGTCACTGGGTCAGCTTGACCTTCAAGAGGTTATAAATGAAGAGATCTGCTCTGGGATTGCCAGGGATACCAGGACCCACCTGGGGTGAGCCAGGGTTTGGGAGGTGACTGGGGCACACTTACCTGAGAGGGGGACATGACCCTGGACCTCACATGTGGCTGATGCTCTGGATGCCATCAGATAGGCTTTAAGCTGTCCCAGGTTGAGGTAGGGGCTCACAGAATCACCTCTTTGACCCACCCGGGTCCCTAGAGAGTTCTAGAACAAAGGAAGCCAGTCTGGTTAGCCCAGGTCTGGACCTGGGCTCAGCTTGGGTCCTTTATAACTGAGGTTGGGGTGCTCACTAGAGCACAGTCCACATCCTTGTCCTTCCAATCATGGGTGCCCCCATTCACTTGTCCACATCAGCACAGCCATTCCTGAGTGCTAGGATCAAGGCCCCAGACTGCAGAGCCTGTGTGCCTATCCTCATAAAGATGGCAGTCTGTGCCTGGGGAAGGCCCTGCCCACAGTCCCTTGGGGACTAGGAAGGTGTTCTCAGCCCTCTGACTGCCAGCCCAGTGTCTGGCATCTGCTGGGAGGATGTGCACCTGGGGGTTGGGAGAGGGTTATTCTTGGATGGGTGGGGACAGGAGATGAGGAAAGCTCAGATGGGTCAGTCAGTGGCTTGTTTCCACCCTCAGATTTTACCTGCCCAAACAGTGGAAATGACCTTGTAAGTCCTCTTTGAAGTTATTTGAGCAGAAATTCAGTGTTCAAAGTTCTCATCCCCACCCCTGCCAGGCAAGGCTGTATGGTCCCAAGCTTGTTGCCAAGTTGCTCCAAAAGCTGTTTTCTTGGTCCTGTGTGGAAGGGAGAATAAACCCATAACCCTCTCGGATGTCCCACCTGGCCCCAAGATCCCACCTGGTGGGAAGGGACCAAGCAGGAGGCAGGAGGGCAGCCCCATTGGCAGCTAGCTGACTGCGAGTACAGAGAAGCTGATTCCCTGCTCTGTGCAAAAGGTGGGAGATGTTCTCCATTAATTCATATATTCAACACACGTTCTCATTATCCATCCCCCCTCCTTTACATAAGGGGAAGAGAAGTGAAGTGACTTGCCCGGGGTCACAAAGCTGGATGTGGTAAAACCAGAATTCAAAAAGGTTAAAACCGAGGCCATAGGGACGCCTGGGTGACTCAGCAGTTGAGTGTCTGCCTTTGACTCAGGGCGTGATCCCAGATTCCCCGGGATTGAGTCCCGCATCGGGCTCCCTGCATGGAGCCTGCTTCTCCTCCCTCTGCCTCTCTTTCTGTGTCTCTCATGAATCAATAAATAACATCTTAAACCACCCCCCCCCCCCGCCGTCCATAGCCATGGGAGGTCCCCTGGGGGAAGGGACACTAGCTGAACCCTAAGGTATAGGGATGATTTTGCAAGATTCCTCGCAATCCCAGCTGTCTGCGTCGGTGGCTGGGTGTCTGCTGGTGGCAGCGAATGTGTGGGCAGGCACGTGAGGCCTGGCCCCTGGCTCTTTCCTGACCCTGGGCTGGGCCTAGGGGGTGTGTTGCAATGACCATGGTTTGTCTCACTTTCCCAGGCAGGCCCTGGTTCTGGGGTTCTAGAGCCAAGGGTGCCTCACATGGGGCTGCCCAGAGCTTCCTTCTTGGGGAGGGAGTTGATCATGGTGCTATGTGGGTATCCACACTTGTAGTCAGAATAGACCTCTGTGCGCATCTCTACAGACAAGCCTGTTTTGGCTAGAAAGTGTGTATGTCTGTCTGTCCACATGTGTGTGTACTTGTGCTGTATGGCCATCCATGCATCCAATTTTGTATGAACTGCAGGTGTGCACCTGGCTCCGTTTCTGCACGTGTCCCGTGGATGTATGGCTGAAGAGCATTTGGGCCTGCATGTGCACATGTGAACATTTGTGGTACTGGTTTCTGTAGGTCTGCTTCTGTATGTCCGTGTGTACCGGTACGTGCATCTGCATCTTGTGTTTTTGTGCTCACATATGTGTACGAGGGGACCCTCCTGTCCACTTTCCTTCTCTGGACCCACATCCTCTCAGGCCTTCCTGCCTTTTCCTAATCTCAGGAGGCCCAGCTTCCAGTAGTCACTGGGGGTCTGACGGGCAGTGCTGGGTACTCCCCAGCTCCACCCCTCGACCTTCGTCCTCTGCCCCAGCAGCCTCAGCCTCCCCAGTCTCCCTCCTACCTCTCTGCCCACTCCTCTGTCCCTCCTCTTCTGTCTGCAGCCAGAAGCAAGCCCAGCCTGGCTTTCTGCCTCTCAGTCCGGCCTTCTGCCATGACCCAGAGAAATCCACACTCCCCCTCCCACCCATCAGCTTCCCAACCTCTCCATCCTCTTCCCAGGGCCCTGATTCAGTCCACAGAAATCCACCCTGAGCTTCCACAGACTTCCTACTGGTCTCCCTGTCATCTGGCTGCACAAGTGAATTTTCCCCAGCAAAATCTTAATGTGTCCCCTTCCTTTTTTTTTTTAATAAATTAATTTTTATTGGTGTTCGATTTACCAACATACAGAATAACACCCAGTGCTCATCCCATCAAGTGTCCCCCTCAGTGCCCGTCACCCATTCACCCCCACCCCCCGCCCTCCTCCCCCTCCACCACCCCTAGTTCGTTTCCCAGAGTTAGGAGTCTTTATGTTCTGTGTCCCTTTCTGATATTTCCCACACATTTCTTCTCCCTTCCCTTATATTCCCTTTCACTGTTATTCATATTCCCCAAATGAATGAGAACATACACTGTCCTTCTCCGATTGACTTACTTCACTCAGCATAATACCCTCCAGTTCCATCCACGTTGAAGCAAATGGTGGGTATTTGTCGTTTCTAATGGCTGAGTAATATTCCATTGTATACATAAACCACATCTTCTTTATCCATTCATCTTTCGATTGTGTCCCCTTCCTGATCCTTGCTCCAGAGGTCTGCCTTTGAGACCTCCTGGCTGCATCAGCTCTTCCGACTGCTGTGCTGTGCAGTGCCTTGCTCTAGACTTGGTCTCCCCCAAAGCTGGGAGCTTCCCTGGGACAGCTGCCAGACTCTGTCCTGAGCTTGAGCTGGCATGCCCTGACCTTTTTTTTTTTTTTTTAAAGATTTTAAATGTATTTATTCATGAGAGACACACACACACACACACACACACACACACACACACACACACACAGAGGCAGAGACATAGGCACAGGGAGAAGCAGGCTCCATGCAGGAAGCCTGATGTGGGACTCAATCCTGGGTCTCCGGGACCACACCCTGGGCTAAAGGCAGATGCTCAACCCCTGAGCCACCCAGGTGTCCCTGCCCCTGGCCTTTTAAGTGGAGGTGAGCCTTCTCTAAGTCAACAAACAAGAGCTCTCGGACAGGTGCTAACTAGGCAGTAACAGGAGGGGCTGCGGGAGGCCTCTGACTCTCTCCTGCTCCCTTATAGCTGACTCACTGCTTTCCAGCCCCTTGGTTTTCCTGGCATTGCC